GTCCCCTCGGTCCCCAGGAGCATGTCCGGGGAGAGAGCAGCACGCCGCCCACGCACGCAAGGCAGAGGAGCCGATGGCAGTGCTCTGGGGAACCGGACGCGAAGCAGGAGAGCCTGCCGTCTAAGCTAGAGCAGGCCGGGGGCAGGACACGTGTCACCCACTCACTGAGCGGGGAGACGGAAACCGGGCTGCTCAGGAGACACGAGGGGAAGACTAGGGCAGGGGCGCGTGCTCCAGTTGGAGAAAGCAGTCGGGGAAGAAGGCAGGCCTCTCCTGTGAAACTGAGGCCAGGGCGACAGCAGTGCCCTGGCCATGAGTCCCTGGGGCAGCCCTGGTGGTGCGACCAGGCGCAAGTGCCTGAACGCCCAGAAACTGCTCCCTGGAGAAACGGGCAGTCGGCTACCGTCTTCCTCCAGGATGTGGTAGCGTTCCCGGTGGCAGGGGTGGTCGGGGATAGCGCGGGGACTGTCCCTACCCCGGGCTCCGGGTCCCAAGGCCCGGGCGCTTGGAGTGCTCCTGGAGCCTCTCCGCTCTTCACGGGAAGACGGAGGCTGCTTCCCGAGTCAGCCTGAACGCGAGAGGAAAAGGCCAGAGCCTGGCGAGCCCCTCCGAAGGCAGTGTGCACCATGTGCCACCCTGGGCTACGCAGGCTGCAGCAGGGAGGAGGCCGCGTCTCCCCACATCGGGGAGGCCCTGGGAACCCAGGGTCCGAAACCTGGCCGCGAGCAACAAGGCCAAGGAAGCACCGACTGTCGCGCAACACTTCTTCCCTGACGCGAGAGACCGAACGCCCAAAGCCTCAGTGAGGAAAGCAGCAGCGAGGCGCCGTCCGCTTCAGGTCGAAAACCTCTGCGAAAGCTCAGCGTTCTCTGGGCAATCAGAGTCGGGTCTGTTGGCTGCTGCTGCTTAGCGCAGCTGAGTGTTCTGGTGCGCTCTGGCAGAAACAACCCCGGAGTGAGCGCCTCCTTGCCCGGACCTCCCTTCGGCCCCAGACAGAGGCGTGGTCGCGCCTGTGCTACCAGCCTTCCGAAAGGGGACACGCC